ATCTTGTGGAACAATCAGTTCCTCTGCCGGCTCCCTCCCTACGTGCTCCTAATGGGGATTGGAAGAACCTCGACCGAGCCTGGACAGATCACCAATTACAGCCTGGGAGCAAAGATTGATTCTTCATTCCCAGGGGTGCTGTGGCTCAGAGGCAGAGCGGGTCTGTCCACTGATCAGAAGGTTGTTGGTTCTGGATTCCCCGGCCTCCTGCCAGCCTGGCATTTCACAAGTGTCCTTGAGAGATACTAACCGCGCCCAAATGGAATGCTCCCGTAACGGTGATGAGAGAGTTCTGGTCGTCGAGTCGGCCATCACTGTAGTGAAATTGCGTGTGAAAAGGCGTGGAATGTGGCACGTAGTGTAACAAGTGCTGGTTGAGTGGTCGGAAGGAGCTGAGAAAGCGTATACAAGTACGCAGGTTCATTTACCATTAATGTTGAGAAATTTGCTGGTTATGTCATCTAGTATTAGAATCTGTGTTAGCTCGTTAACGAAAGAGAAGTTGGAAGCGGCAAGGATGCAGCGCAGACAAATCAGCTCACCGATTGGATGCATTCCACTCAGTATAGATCAAGCATGGATCAGTACGACCGCGTTAAATAAGAATGGTCACACAATGCAGCAATGACCATGAGGAGAGTGTGATTCAAAGTTTGTCCTCAGATTCTCATAGCTCTCTCGTCTCAAGTCACAGATCCAAACTCTTTTCTGTTACACTCGCTCACTGCTGTAAGTTCCCTGAAGCCTCCCTTGTCTTATGATGGAGAAACTACCGAAGACATGCAAGCACTGTCAGCCCATCATCCACCGAATGTCAGTGCTTACATCGAACGTTATGTGAGGTATTCCAACGTTAAAGACATGTTGTAACGAGCCTAATGAGGTACAATCAAGATATGCCACAGTAGCATGCTAAATCTGAATTGCGGGTCTACTATTAACATAAGTATCCAACCGGTGTGTCGAAACCATTTAGTTGGAAGATTCTTATATGGCAACGGATGTATACAGAGCATCTGACACAGATAGACATAGCGACTCCACTGATTACTCTCTACTTATTTAAAAATTACTTTGCTAGTAATAAAAATTAATCAGTCTGTGATAAAATCGAGGGCTCTATGGTCAGGGGACATTAGTCATTAAGTTCAGTTTACGGGTATGAGAACTGAGTTTCGCGCTACCTGTGGTATACTCGAAGATGGATATTATCAAGGAGAGTACTCTCTGCCATCGATGATTTCTGCTTCGAAAGTAGGCTCTCTGACAGCGCCTGTTAGGAACTGCAAACGATGAATTGCACAGGGCGCGTAGATTTACATCACAGAACTCCCCTGGCCAGCGCCCGGTCTCCACGCACGCATCGCACGTTCCTGATAGCGCTTTCAGCGAATCACAGAGACTCTCATCACGAAAAACTCTCTGCAGATAGTGTGACGCGCTTGGCTCTACTCAATCGAATCGTGAGTTTACGTCAAGTCCTCATAGTAAGTCATCTAGGTCGATATGTCTAAGAGCAATACGGAGGAGTAAATGTAAGGGGTTCGCTGAAGCCTGTTCGGTTGCAGACAATCGGAGTATGTAGAAAACTCGTACGCAATGGTGTCATCGCTATGAACAGATACTGCTCTCAATTAAAAGAGAAGTCTATCTATCACCCACTGATGATTAAGAACATGCCAGTCAGAGGAAAACGGTCTGTGAGCTGCTTACATCTGCTCAAGTCATCATTCGTATACATCACTGAGTCTTCTTCCTAATTCTGAAAGCTATTTTTGCGTGTGAGTGACCGTGGATAAAACAGTCCTAGAATAAGGCTCATTATCTGATAATGTGACTACATAAAAAGATGATAAGGTAGTGGGTCTCCAATATGCAATTAACTCATCATTCTATAAGCTATATACTAATCAAGGTCAATTTAGTTTTTGTGCTCCGGTTCTTCCTGAACACATGATGGTTCTATTTGGTGCATTACACGTCCTGGGCATATAACTGAGGTTAAGGCTTGTTTATCTCACTGTTCAAATAAAAACTTACAAGTAGAGATGTTTGCTGGACAGATGTTAATGAACACAGTAATTTTCAAGTTCATATGTACGATTAATTTTTTGAGAGGTCAAAAATATTATGAGTGATTAACGAGACATGCTGTCGCACAATGAAATCCAAATGCACCATAACAGGTATTTATCTTATAATCTGCTAGTACAATAATGTGGAATATCCACACTTATATTGACAATTAAGATAAAGTTTTTTATGATACTATCAACAATTTGCTGAAAACTTTCACAAACACGTTGAATATACTATTAGACCAGAATAGGAAACAATATGTTCGAGGTCAGCGGGAATTGATATATCGTGTAACGAAACAAAAAAAATCAGGGTTCTTCTGAGCCTCATCCTAACCCGTAGCTAAAAACCGAAGAACATTAAAGGTACAGGCATGTGTGATGCATAACTGCTCTCCATTATTCACCAGCTAGACCATTGCCGATAGAAGTGTTAGACGCTTGTTTTCATGTATTATCTGTCTCGTGTTCTACTGTCATGATGTAGTAAAAGTTTTAGAAAATATGACAAATGTTATACCATGCTCTGAAAAACAAAACTTTAAGTACCATTTACTTATTTCTTAGTTACAAAACAGCTACCTGCTATGTGCTGGTCTCTGACGCTGTAAATGGCATATACAGCGTTATATACATTTACTTTTGTTCTAGAATCATATTGCTGGTTTCTTGATTGCTATGCTATATGTTTTAATACCAATATATACATTTCTTATGACTATCCTGTCTTCTACACAGTACCACTGGAATGAAAACAAGTGAAACACAAGTACAAGAAAACTACATTTAATCATTCAACTATGAAGATTACAGCCATAGCATGCATAGTAACACACCAACACAAAAAGAACTTCAAACACTTCAATATCAAAAGTTAAGAATACAATCAACACTTCTTAATTAGTGGTGCGATGCTTATTCCAAGTCAGCTTAGAAAATTCATTTCACTACACCATATTACAGCCCCCGCCTGTGGGTAGGGGGCTGTATTGTGATGTCAAATCTGTCAAATGATTCTGATGACTTAAGCTTTCGTCTGTATGCAAATGCAAGTTTTTGCAGGCTATAGTTTTCAGTCCATTTTCTTTAGTGTCCCCAGGTCAGTTCTGTTTCATACTAGAACAAGGAGTGGCCAAAGCCACAAATCCTACACGTACTGTGAGGGGCTTTACGGTAATTCAACACCTTCAACAAACTTCAACTGTCCTGACTTCCTTATGAATACAATCATACAATCGTGGTATTTTGAGCTTTTTCTCTAAACATACTAGAAGGATTGAACAGGCTTCCATATTGTGTAATTCGGAGATTTTGTCCAGTCAAGGTTCTGACTGATGGGAGGAAGTCATTTATTACATGAACTCCTTTAACTGTGGAGATTTTAGTGTCCTTTTAGTATTTCCCCCCGCCCCAAATTTATTAAATTTTAAAAAAATATTACAGTAGGTTTTTTTTTTTAGCTAATTGAAAAACCAATCTAATTACCTAAACTAATCACTGACATCCTGTGGCTTTTTCTTATAAATTATAGCCTAAAATATATCAATAAAATAATAATAATAATAATGATAAAATACAAAATGACAAAATTCAAAGCTAATTAAAAAAAAAATAATGACATAGCACCTGACCCATTGTTTTCTTTAAGCCGAGTTTAGCTACTGTTTGCATGGTTTTTAAAACAAGAAAATAGGTTCTACAAACTTTGTTCAGTAACAATGTTATTTTGGTTTTTCTGATGAAAATACATCTACCAAAAGCGGATTTGATAAGAAATAAAAACATTAAATAAATTTTATTAAAATACACTACAAAAGATAGAAAAATAGTTCTAGAATTACAGTTGGCAGCAGACTGGCTGGGCTCAGAGGAGGTGGCTGGTCGGTGCGGTGGGCTCACATGATGGAGCAGTTTCTCTTGGCAGTGTGAGGTTCTCCCTGCACAGAAACATTCATGGTACCATCAGACATGCCGTCAATGGGCCTACAATGCCTTACAGTCAGACAGACAGCAGCTTCCTCTGTGCATCAGAGCAAGGTTACTAGAGATTGCGCCTAAGACGCATTGAGGACGTACTGAGACCTGATCACACAGACCACATTCAGCGGTGGTTAAGGCGGCACATAGCTGCGTTCAGACTCCATTAAAAAAACATGCAATTTAAAGATTTGTTGCGTAAGGAGAAACTTTGTGAAACACAGTCTACGGCAAATTCTTAATATTGTTTAGGTGTTCTTGTAAATTTAGCAAATGTAATACATGAAGTTATTTATTTGTTTGTGTAAAAACAGTGTCCGTTTGTATAGCATATAGCAGGATACTGAGCCTGGCAGGAGAGACGTTTTGTTTGCCATCTGGGATGTGAAAACATCAGATTTCCACACAGTCAGAGAAAGTAACAGTGTGTGTCCTGCTCATAAATGCAGTTATAAAATCCCACAATGCACCACAGAGCGTCTCTCCTGCAGGGCTGCTGCAGTGTGGAGTGGAACTGAACAATAATACAGTGTTTATTTGCATATAGAGCAGGGAAGTGAAGTCAGATCACAAGTGGTCACTCATGTTAATAGCAGGTGTAAACAGAGGCTAAGTGTCCCTGTAAATATTTTAAACAAGTGTGTGTGTGTGTGTGTGTGTGGGGGGTTGGACTTGTATCAGAGGAATCTCTGTACTGACACTGTTGCTGGTAGTCTCACCTGTTGGTGGAAGAGGTCTTCCTCAATGGCCTCCACTCCGCTATCGTCATCGTCCTCATCCTGCTCTTCTACTGCTGTCTTGTATGTTGTGATTCTCTTTGCCACCTCCTGCCACACACAAAAAAATGTTGCTTCAGCTTTTTTGCCAGAAAAACAAATCCAGACTGGGCAACAAAGACCAGATGTGGGTACAGATGGGTGACTAATACACTAGCCTAGAGGTGGTGGTGACAAATTATTGCAATCTGTATGTACAGACTCAGAATTGGTGACAAAGATTGTGTGGGTGTGTGTGTGTGTGTGTGGTCTCACCTCTCCCTGAGGGTTGATCAGTGCTACCTGGACATCCTCCCCTGAACCCCAGGAGGACTGGTTCTTCCACACGAGATCTGTGGGAGGTTTGGAGCTCACACCGGCATTGGACGCCCAAACCTGCAAACAGCCACAAAAGGGTTCAAACAGCCCTAAAGTCACGGTCATATTCAACCCAGAGCATACACCATGCATCCTTAAAGGGATTTTATGTTTACCTAATGTTACACACTGGACCTGTAACAAACAGACAGACAGACAGACAGACAGTATAACCTCTTACCATGACTTTGTGGCCAGCCTTCAGGACATATTTGGGTGTGAACTTGTAGGTGGCTGCAGCACTTCCAATTGTCTTTATCATCTCATAACCCACCATGGCCTGGTCCTGAGACAGACACCATCATTAACAATAAGGAAATAGTTCTGATGTACAAAGGTTCAGCTGTATCTCCACAGGAACATTTGGTAGATGGAGCTCACCTCATCTCCGGTGTTGAGCAGGCAGATGAACTTGCCGTCCGTATCAATCTCATCGATGCAGATGGATCCCGTGGCTGAGGCAGAGTGAGCAATGGACACCGAGCTGCTGGCTTCCTGTTCCTCCACGTCAACACGCTTCCTCTTTCCCTGAGTGGTCCGCACACTGCGGCTGCTGGACGAGGCTCGGGACACCGTGACACGGGACGAAGGACTTGGAGATAGCTTCAGTCTGGGGGGCAGAAAAACCACAGTTCGACATCCAGGTCACTGATGAGGCTGCGTTAGAAATGAGCAGAAATTGAACTATTGCCATCCCTACCTTTCTTCTTCTCCCTCCAGAAGTTTGCGGTAGGCGTTGATCTCCATGTCCAGAGCCAGTTTTACATCCAGCAGCTGTTCGTACTCGTTCAGCTGCAGCAGCATCTTGGCCTGGATCTCAGCCATGTCGCGGTCTTTGTCGGCCAGCAGCTTGCGACTTGTGTCTTTCTCCTGAGCCAAAGCTGCCTCCAGCTCCATTATACGATCACGCCAGCCACGAGTCTGAATATGGACGAGGAGGTGTGTCACAGAGCAAGACAACACGTAATCGTGTGTAATTTAAGAAATGCGTTACTGGCTGAAATAACATCACTGCTGAGAGGACAATAAATACAGTGTGAAACATGACTAAATAAAATACTAAGGGGGCTGTATTTGTTGGCTTAAGTTTTTCTTTAACTTTTCAATTACAGTCCTGGAGTGTTACTGCAGGTTTCAACAGCAACAACCTCTGTTGTGAGTTACAGTGGCTCAACAGTGCAGTATCACCGCCCTTCTCGTTGTTTTTGCAGATTACTTTAATAAATACAAGCAGGTTCTGAGAAAGTGGTAGCAGAGTCCCACTGATGTATCTGTATATTGGTGTCGCTGCAAACTCTATCCAGCAGGGTGCGCTGTGATTTACAATACTGTGGCAAGCAGCGCAGAGTAAGAGAGAAGTGTTCAATAATTTAACATGGTAAAGAATAAAATCAATTTGAAAAAAAATTAGTAAGGGTGCCAACACAGAGGGATCCAGCTAAAAACGCTGAGAAAAACATTGCTCAACTTTTGCCTCAATGCAGCATGACAGCATATTTGTACCATTTACTCAGAACTCATTTTCCAGGACCTTTCCAGGACATTTTCCCACAAAATATTTTCTCATATAAGTTATTGGTAGGCCTAGTATTGAAACCTTTTGTTTTGTGTTACTCCACGCATCTTATCCTACCAACACTCGAGTTTCAAGCAAAATACACACCCAGGTTTATGTATGGGATTTGAGTGAAGGGTGTGAAATAAAAAATCTTCCAGGACAACATAGCATATCTCCAAGATACTTAGTCATTTTAACTAATGTCCAGGTATCTCCATTACAGGAAAACTCCAGATTTTTCAGGACACGTTGGGACCCTGGATTGAGATAAAGGTGGCTGGCTTTCGATTTCACAGGGTTTTATCACATACTGCTGCATAGGAAAGCAGTTCTTGTTCTGTCACAACCTTAACTTAATGAGTGGAATAAAATGCTAACCTCTTTCTGCAGTCCTGCCAGCTGGGCAGTGAGGCTCTCGATCCTCAGGGCGGACTCTCTGAGCTCCTCTCGGGCCATGTTGGCTGATGCTCCGTTCATCTCAGAAAAGCGACGCAGGTCCTCCAGCTGGAGACAGACACACAGATGGTTCGATAGTCAACAACATCAACGGTGTTTCCTCCTCATTATAGCTCAAAAGAGGAACCGAGCAGTGTCAGTCACTTCCTGACACGCCGGAAGTTAGTAAAGAGCAGTACGGTATGTTGGCTCTCTTATACGTGTTAGTTTCACTTTACTGTTGCTTACTTGCACACTGTGTATGCAGTCACCATACTACACAAAGCATTGCACTGTATTCTGCCATTTACCTTCTTGAATTTATTCTGGTGGTGGTGCTACAAGCAGTAGGCCAACCTGTGTTTTTCCTGAAGCTGCCAACCTTCACTTGTTTAAGAATTTGTTCTTTTTTCATGTTTTGATGGCTCACACAAAAGGTCCAATTGCAAATGTGTGCTCAAAAAGGTCAGAATATCAACAAAATCACATGCTGGTGTAAACAGTAGTAAAGTGGAACTGAAAATACTGTGATACAAACTGTATACTTAGTCAAGAGAGCAAAAACAAACAACCTTCTCTTCCAACACAGTACATGAAACCACAGGTTGACACATGCGTCATTTACTGAACATGAAAATAAAACAACATCAGTTAACATCACACCTACTGTAATATTGTCCCTGGCAGACAGCTCGGATAAAAATGCTTTGAGTGACAAATAACACCTTGTCTCCAGTGATGTCATTGAGTGTGACCTGTAAATGTTGTGGGTCCAAACCAAACTTTCATGGTAGCTGGTGAGGAGGAAAATTTTACAGTAACTTGCTAACCAAATGAGAGGTGGCAGCCGGCTCAAACCCCCCCTGCTGGTTGTGTCCCTTT